CTTAATATACAAAGGAAATAACGACAATATTTTAAAATTAGACTATTAAATCACTATTTTTAAAACATTAATAATATTTTTTTCATTTATTTAATGTTTTATTTACACTCAAGCATTAGCTACTTTTCTGGCTTATTAATATGTAAATATGTTTTTAGGGTCCTTGAAATTTACTACGAGCGCTAGTCTGGCTTATTCGACCACTGCTGAATATCGTAAATAAAGATGCACTCTACTCAGCATACTCTTTTCAAAAGTAAAAATACTTATATTATAAGGTATTTCTCCCGCCCTCTTAGCGTGCCTTCGTGGTGTAGTGGTCTGCATACCGGGCTCGTATCCACAGGTCCGTGGTTCGATTCCCGGCGAAGGCATTGCTTATTTTTCATTTCTACTGCTTCCAAAAAATACCTAATGTCTCCAGAATATATCTGACTGGAAAATCATTTAAAGGAAACTGGTGGGAGAAGATTGTTACGACAATCGCATACATCAATAACTAACAGTAGTTTTGCGCTTATCAGTGATACAAGATTCAGTCAATTCTGTTGCAAAAACAAAACAAGAAGAATATTTTTGGCTTAAAAAGTGTTTTATTTGGAATAAAATTGACAGCATTTAACTACAGACTGCTCTTAAACTATTTGAGAGCTAATGGTTGAGTTAAATTTATTCAAGTAAAAGAAAACTAAACGACAGAACATTTCAAAGCGTCATTTAAGCATAATGAAGCTTGTTAATGAAAATGAAGACAAGATATCACAGTTTCATATATTAATATGGATGGACATCAACATGTAAAGTGATTCTTTCGATGCAATTAAAATGGAAGGGAAGAAGAGCATAACTGTAGAAGGCCTTTTTTTAAGATACCACTTTTTTTAAGATACCACTTTTTTTAAGATACCACTTCTAGTTGATATTCCAATCAATGTGCTTATCCAAAAGTGAGCAGAATGTTTTCAGGGCAGAATGAAAAAATGTGATCAGCTGGTTTGTTTAAAGTGTAAGCGTATTGTTGTTTCAAACAATTAATATTATTAACTGGTTCTTTTTTTAAGTTGCTCACATGCTGAAACCGAATTATCCAAACACAGCCCATGTTACTAAATGGATTTTGTCTTCTGAGACGTTGATCGCCTTAAAAAAATGACTGTCGGTGATCTTTACTGCTATTGCTGATTTATATTTTCAGAAATACTATCAAGTCTTAAATGTTGCGCCGAGTGTATCCTCATCGTGTGTATTATCGAGATGTACGGTTTCTATTACAATATAGCACTTTGTAAGGGCAACTCTTTAATTACTATATTAAAGATTCATAAGTAACATGATTTTTTTTATGATCCGAAATGTATCGATCCACTTTATTCAATTTCCTTTCTGTACTCGGAAAACTATTTAATTTTTCGCGTATTTCATGTTCAGTACAATGTTTCATTGACTAACATTATTAGATAATAAATATTCAAAACACTTTCTTCCAGAAGGTATAGTTTCCTTAAATTGCTTACATTCTACAATATTCTTAAAAGGTGATGCATCTGGCCTTCTTCAGATGCTTTAATTTCACTGTGAACGTTTTAAGTACAAAACGCAACAGAAATATAAATTCCTAAGTAATTTTACAATAAGCAGTCATTTTGTGGATTTCAAAAATTCCTTAAACTGTATACCTAGAAAACACGATATTTGATTTCTAATATATTCGGATTCCACAGAAATACACCACGTGGAGTAGTACAGCAAAATTTACGTCAATTGCATTCACAAAATGCGAGATGTGTTTCTTGGAACGTATCTTGCTCTGGATTGAAATGCGGAATTGTCCCGCAAAGGAAGTCTGGGTATTTTGATTTTATCTAATAATAATTTGTGTAATAATAATGGACATCATTTTTCTATCATTAGGTTTTGTGTAATACAATAAATTGTATTGGTTGCCTCAGAAAGTTTGAAACAAATATATAGAGAACAGAATTTAATAGGTTAAATATATTTAATCAGTATATAAATCCAGTCTCTCGAAGTCTATGCTATTGAGCTTGATCAGTCAACTTTCACAATAAAATCACTCATTTGAAGCATACTTTCTCGTCTTAACATCCTTTCCCCAAACAGTATTAAATCCGAATTAAATCACTAGGATAATGAGCATTGATTTCACCTTTAAACTTTAAGAGTGAAATAAAATTCATTATGAAATATTTTGTATAAGTTCGATATATTACAATTATACTTATAACAGATTAATACAGTCGATAATTGTCAACGTTTAGACGCAGAACATGTGTATGTAGGTGGAAAAAAAACCGTCTTCAAAATGAGTTTGAGTTTAGCCGTCGGTGAAGTTTCAGGAACGATTGTAAGCCGCTAAGCAGTAACATTTACTCTTTCCTTTGACGTCTGTAGTCGAAGTTTGAAACGTTTCAATTTCGAAGATGCCATATTAAAATACTTTGCAATCTTTAAATTTGAAATTCTAAACTGTCAGCCCGGTAGGTCTGCCTATAATAAAATGCAGCTTGCTTTAAATTTTCCGAATATTGTTAAAGGAAATAATTATTAATACTTTGATAGAAAAGGATATCTACTGAAGATCATACACGTAATGGCAAGCAAGAAAGATTAAGAATTAATTTTTTTAACTAAATATTTGAAAAATGCTGCAGGGTAACATATGTTTCATATTTTAATTATTAATAAAAATTTGTTGTTTAACCTCCGTTCTTCAACAGTAGAAACTAAATTCTAGTATTGACAACGGATAAGAATAAGATAAAAAATCAATTGAATTTATTGATTTATTAAACCCTTAATGATATTTTTGAATGAAAAAATTCTTCTTGAATTTTATAGTTTCTCGAAAGTTAACTAAGTTAACAAAAATGAACAAATCATTTAAGTCTTTTCAGTATACATGATAAATGTTTGCATATTATATGTAAACTGGTTACTTAATAAATGAAATTTTATATATAGAAATAAGTAGGTAACATTAAATAACTAAAAGCAAAATGTTTTATCATTTTAAATGCTGACATTTAGAGTTCAAATTTTTCTAATGTCTTTCACATAAAATTATATGGTTTTCGTTTACTGTTGTCAAAAATGTATTAATTTAAGGTTCATACTGAATTCATCTACGTTAAAGCAGAATAATATCATTAAAATGCCTTGTCTGGGTAAATGAAAACAAATAAAAATTTAGAAAAATTTTTAATAGGATTTAATAACTTTTTCTAGAACAAATAAGTAAGAAATATTTTACTTATTCTTATTAGTTTACATTGACCAGGTGTTAAACCTAGTCAGTATTTAATAATATGTGAAAAGTATTGTTATATGATGGTATTGCTAATATTGGCACATAGTATTTCTTAGTGACATTAGAAACTGCTAGAATTTAGAACTGAGTTCTGAGATAAAAGGCAGGTAGAACTATTACACTCTGTTACTTAAAGTAGGCACGTCAAGGCTGTTGCCAGAACTCGCCATCTGCTATCGTAACGCATGTAGTCGTTACTGCGAAACACTTATTTTCTCTACCTCACTAAAGACGTCATAGTTCAAGTCAATCTCCATTCGCGCTCTTCATAAAGCGAAGCCCACTAAACAGAAATGAAGAGCAGGAAAAACATTAGCAACTCAAGCCATCGGCTGCAACTGTTCCTACACTGATTACAGAGCAATACGGACGCGAAAATTAACCTTCAAGTTATTGTTTACAGATTATAGAGAAGAGAAACACAAAAAAGTAAACCATAAAATTAGGCAAAGCATAGTGTCTAGCATAGATTTTAGTCAAGGTTCTGTCGGTTTGGAGGGTAAACAGGTACAAGCCCCGCTTCATCAAGAGCAAAAATATCTGGGACGATCGGAAAGCCATGGTTGTATTTCTAGCCTATCCAATAGAACCCATGGTTCGATTCTTAAAGATTCCATTTCTGACTTTAATTATTGGGGAATTTGTAGCATAACTCGTCAGTGTTATTTAAAATATATTGGCTAGACTAAAAGAGCGTTAAAGTTCCGCATCAAGGAACACGAATTTTGTGTCCGAAAAGGTGAAATTTATAAGTCGTGGACAGTTAATGGTAGTTAGACATGTAATCATAATTTCGATCTTTCGATAAAAGCTTCTTCCACTTGCAAAAATTATCCAAAAAGCTTCTTTCCATTTGCCAGTTAGATTTTATGAAGCTTTTCACATTCACAAAGCTTTATCTTCTTTAGTTAATGACTTTAATTCGAATCTAGTCCTTCCTAACACTTTGTAAAATTCTATTAATTCTGTTTTCGTTGCTATTTCTGCCCACAGACGGCGCTATTTTCTCGTTAGTTTTAGTTCTTCGAGATTTAAATACAACCGTGGTTTTGCCGTCGTTGCAGATTTCCTTGCTGTTGATAAAGAGGGATCAGTACCTGTTGCACTCGAAATTGATAGAGTTTTGACTGAAATCTATGTTAAACACAACGCTGTGGTTTTACCTAATTTTATGTAACAGACGTCGTTGTATTGAACGTGCAAAATCATCATAGTTGCATGTGAATTCTTTCTTTTGTCAACTTAGATAGCCACTCAAATAGACTCCAAGGTTTCAAACGATTTCTGTCTCCTGTAAAGTGCCTTACAGAATATGATTACTAGGGGAGGATTTTTAATACATTTATTTATATTTTCAAATATATTCCCCAATTATAGAAATGGTCACCATGCGATGTTTCATTATGGTTACTGTATCACATATTCGTGCTTTCTGTTGTCGCTGTATTTAATGTGTATGTAATACTATTATCCATAAATTCTAGATTAGGAAAGATTATGGCTTTTGCATTGGGAAAGAGTAATATATTTAAAAGTAGGATTTTAATACTTTATTTCAGAAACGAAATTGCTCGCACTTACAAACCTATTTAAAAGTTTTACATGAGATATATGTACTGCATTTGCCAGAATAAAAATAATAAACCAAAACAACCATATAACGATCAGAAAATTCCTGAAATTTGGCTTTATTAAGTTGCTACCAAATTTTACACTTATTTTTTCGATTCATTCTTGAATCTGATGGGCAATTAAAAGCTTTGGAGAACTCTGGGAGGTTGGACATCGGTCCTATCACTCTGAAAGAGAAGAAAATTTTATATTAGTTCATGAAAAACGTGACTTAATTTCTTTGATACAAAAGTGTCTTATTTTTTTTCGGAGGTAATGCATTCTATGGTCTACCGCGTATGGCAGCAAATTATGTATGAGCAGAATATTCGTGTAATATTATAATTATGGTTAAGCATAATTGATAAATTACGCAAGTAAGACGTTACCGTCATTAAATAAAGTAACAATTGAGCAAATTTATATATATTATAATACATCATATACTTGTATTTCTAATTAAAGTAATATAAAATACATTCTATACCAGAGTAAACTCTCTCCCATATTTTTAAAAGTGAGATATTCTGATATTTTAATTTAATTGGCAATGGATGAGTGACAAATGAAGCAATGTAGTTCTATTTTCAAGCACAGAATACTGTTTTGGAGAATGGTAGAAGCTTTCGTTTTATTAGCTGTAATAGTACACTAGTAGTTTTCAATTATTTGCAGTAAAAGAAGACTTACGTTTTAGGGTCCTTATTGCGCTATAGGAAAACTTTACTAGCAAGCAAGTTGCGAAAATGCATTACTACTAAGATGAGTATTAATGCCAGAAGGAGGAATGGAAGAAATATGGGTACGGAAATGAAAATAAGGGAAATGCTTTCGGACTACAGGATAGCCGATATCTATCATCATATTTATGATCATCAAGTTCAGTTGTAAGCTTAGAGATACAGGAATTCCTGCAAAGAGATGATACATATTAGGTTCCGCTATAATCATTTCTATTCTCTGTATTTAGTAATACCAGTCTGAATAGCGAATGCAGGTGCATAGGAAGAGCATATTTAGTGTATCTGAAGTATATTTAGTGTATTTCGCTAATGTTTTGGTACTTTACTACTGCGTTCTCATTTCCATACTTAAAAAAATTAGGGTAATTTTTTTCGGTTTTAGACAAATGAAACTGAAACTGAAAATACTAAATCAACAGATATGGGGGGGGGCACGTATGAATTGTTTTGGCTTTGAAACAAGTCATAATTTGTTTTGAAACAGATTAGTTAATAAGAACTGCCTGAATGTTGAAGCAGATATGAAAAATGTTTAAAGTAAAATTTTCTGAAGAAAATAATTATTTATGTAATATTTATTTATCTATATACACATTTTTGAAAATTCGCACAACTTCAAATAAAGATTTCTATTTCACTTACCTGAACTTTCCTGGGCTATATGCGTCAGAGTTAATGCTTAACTCAAAAGTTTCTGGCTGTCTTAATTCACAGTATACCTGAAATAGTTTATGAATAGTATTTCTAAAAAAATCATACTAATTCTATATCATCAGTCGAAACAACAAACAGAAAATATTTTAAGTAAGTTGTGTGTCCTTGAATGATTATTAAATATAACTGAAATCATAAACAGAAGAAATATTCAAAATTGAAACACTTTAAATTACTAGATCAGTATGGGACGGAACGACACGCCGACTAACACTATATAAATAAACAGCATATCTATAAAATTCTGTCTACATTAGTCAACGTGTTGAGTTCCAACCTACTTTCGTTGCTAAATCATAAAGAGATCAGATTTTAATATGATTCCATTTTCCAGTTCTAGACGACACCATTTTCTCTGATTTTTTTGTTAATTTTCTGTTTGTATTTGTTTTAAAGAATGTCGTTGTTTCGTCAGTAGTAAATTATCGAATTCATTTGGTCCCACTTTTTGTTTGTAGTATTTTGTTTACTTGCAGCTCAAGAAGACGATATTGTTCTATTGCTGAAAATGTTTCTACTAAAATAAAACTCAACGAGAAATAATTTTGTTTAGTTATATTCAACGTCAATGAAACTTTGACTCCCGTGCGACGAACATTGTTTCAAAATATTTAACTTTAAACTTTATCATATTTGAATGTTGTAGATAAAGCGAAGAAAGAAATATTTAAATTGGTATGCAATTAAAAATGAGATTTCAGTTTTACAAAAAGCTGTTTAATGTTAATATATTAAGTGAAAAGGATGCACACCAACGTAAGATGTTTTGATCAATAAAAATTTTGCCAAGACGCAGACCTTATTTGTAGAATCACACAATTCCTGTTCCAGAAAATAGTGACAGGACTCAGTATCGGAACATGGGGCAATTCATAGTATTATTTGGATGAATTTCTATTGGGATAACATTATTTTCTTTTATGATCATTTACATTATCATTCTAAAGTAATAAACCGTGAATATTTTAACTCATGTATAGTATCTAAAATCAATGAATTACTTGTGTGAGAAAGGCTTTGCCTTCCAAATGTAATAAAATTACAAATTAACAAATACAATAAATTGCCTCTTAAATTCCAAGAGGATTCTATGCAGCAGCATTCGTGCCGTGCAGTTGCAAATCTACATATTTGTTTCGCCGAAAAACTTTTTTATTGTTGTATTGATGCTCTAAACAGAATCATTAATAACATAAGTAGCAAGTAACACATATTTTCAGTAATGCATATACTACATACTGAATTCATAATATAGTATATTTTATTTTACTAAAATACACTACGTTACCAAATGTGCAAATTGCATTACTGAATATATAAAACGTCAATGAAACTTTGACTCCCGTGAATATACTAAAGTATATGTTTGATGTCAAAACAGTGACAGTATGATTGCTTTACAATAAAATGCAAGAGCAACTGTGGGTTTGTTTTTCAGGTAGCCTAGTCTTTTTTCAGATAGTCTGTATGTTTAATGCATCGTCATTGCCGTCATCAAATATTTACAACAAGCAGCTGTATTCGTGTTTATAGCTGATAACTTTAAATATTGGTCAATTCGAAATATTTATGATAAGCAGAAACAAGTCAGCTTTTTCTTCATGCGGAGTTTTGAAACACTTCCAGAATAGAAACCTAGAACTAGCTCATAGGATTTACGTAATTTGAAATTTGCATTATTATATTGAACAAGATGAAAAGCAACCGAGAATGATAGATGATATTGTTTTATTGCAAAACTAGATGTCTTAATGTTCAGGAAAAAATGCTTAGGAAACGATGATAAGCTTTGTAAGGCTTCCGATCGGATATTCACATTACTAAAGCTCTGCATTAATAGCAATAATATGAAGGTGCAAATTACACAAACAGCACCACATTTGAGAGAGTATGGATATATAATTCTAAGAATTATATTTTACCTTCGTTTTTAAGTTTCTTCCTCGTGATTAAGGTCTTCGAAATGTTCGAAGATTAGATAAATGGATAATTTTGATCTGTTAAAAACTTTAACATTGCATGGAGTAGTGTGCGCATGAAATGGAAGTAAAGAAAAGGCAAGCCAATCGAGAAATGATTTTAAAAAACATTATCTAATGCTCACTTTTTTTTGGCGTGTTAAATTAAATCCGTAGAAAGTCTCCTGATTAAAGTACATTGCCATACAAATTTGCACAATGAAGAATTAGTTGTTAGATCATAAAGAAATATGGCATGAATTTATGAGTCAGATTGACGTCTTCAGCGACGAATCGAGATTCATTTTTGGGCAGTCACGGCAATGTGTAAGCGTATCTAGACCCTGTGGGGAACGCCTCAATCTGTTTTCGCTTTACAATAGTTCACCACTCAACACAATTGATGCGATAGTAGAATGCCGTCGCAGAAGTTACTAGATCACTTTTAATATTCATTGATGGAGCTATGACACTCCAGCGGTTAATTCGTGACTACTTCAGCCTCAAGTGAAGCCACTCATGGTAGGGCTACCAGAAGCAGTTTTTAAAAGGCAACGTTCAGCAAGGGTATCATAGAAATGTCTTCGCTATATTACTGCACTTCCCTTGTCTTCTAATTCCCCAGATTTGTCACCAATCGAGCATATCTAGGTGGTTCTCAAAGTATGGTCCTCAGACTACAGGACTTAGATTTACAAAAATACCATTTTATGCGTAAACGAAATTTGTAAATGTTAGTCCTTGCTGATGATATGTGGCTAACTACACTGGCATATCTTTCGATTCTAAAACCTACATAGATTAAATCTTTGTTTATTAGGTAATTCTTTGATTCTATTCAATGTTCGAGGGAAAGGAAAAGTGTTTGAGGGGAAACTCGATTGTGGAGTAATTGTGTAAAACAGAGAAAATTTTCACCAGTTCCAACTTTAGAATCTTTTACCTAATAACCTTTAATTATTGAAAGCAAATAAAACCTTTCTTCTGTTAACTTAATACATTAATCCCAATATGAAATTAAATGAATTTTAATTAATTGCATTTTGAAAATGGATGTATACTGGTAGTAACATGTACTAAATCTGATTTCGAAGGAGGCAAGGCCAAGGTAGTCCGCAGAGCATTCTAATTTATGAAAGTGGTTTCACTTGAAAACGTTTACGAAGCAGTGGCCTAGGACTTTGTTCGAACTTACAAGAACTTTGGAATGAGATGACGGCAGGGCATCATACGGAACCTGTTTGCCTCAATGCCCACCAATATCGCATTGTCTATTAAATGTATTAGGTGTATGAGGTAAGTAGGAAGAGTAATATTTTTTACCTTAATCGTCAAAGCATTCTTTAAAATATAAGCGCTAAAGGTTCGAATGCAATTCATAATATATTTCGAAGTCTTATTCTTCAACATTCTAATTGATTTTATAAAAGTAGTTAGACTTTTAATAGCAAAATTATTCTTCTATACATCTTTGGTCATTCCCGGAAACTTTCAAACAAAGGTTTCTTCCAGTAGTATTATAACTAAATAATCTTTATATATACGTAAGACTTACGTTAGCAGCACTTATCCAGAACAACTGATCCGGCGTATACTTCAGTCCTGGTAGATTTCGCTCATTTGTATTTCTTCTGACCCATGTCTGATAAGCCTGTAATAAGAAAAGACATGTTGTGAAATTTGTAAGAAAATTGAAATTTTTAAACAGAGAGTTATTTCTTCAGCTATTCACGTTTTGCCGTTTGGCTCTTCTGAAGGAAACTGAGGCATTTATTTAGTATTTAATATCAATATTAGTTTTAATAAATACTGAATAAAATATTCCTGTGATTAAAAAGTTAGTTTAATTAGAAAAAAAGTTCTGAAAGGGTTCAGATTGAAACAGTTGCCCAAAAGAGCCTTTTTTAAAATTAAATTTAATGTTGTTATCAGTAGAGATTATCAATAGAGATGGCTCAGTAAGATATTTATTCCGCCTTCTTAGCATGGCTTCGTGTTGTAATGGTCAGCACACTCGGCTTGTATCCGAGAGGCTCGGGGCTCGAGTCCCGGCGAGGGCATTGCTCATTTTTATGTCTCCTGCTTCGAAATAATCTCTCTACAGTGACGTCCTAACTAAAAAAGGTGGTGGATGATGAATCTCCACCACCAGGATTTGGCGATTGGGTACCCTAATCCCGAGTCGCCCTTTAAAAGTGGGGTATATAAGGTATTTCTCCCATCTTCTTAGCATGCCTTCGTGGTGTAATGGTCAGCGGACTCGGCGCGTATTCGAGAGTTCCGAGGTTCGAGTCTCGCCGAGGGCATTGCTCATTTTTCAGATCTTTTACTTCAAAAAGCCTAATGACTTTACAAGATGAATATGCATTATGACTAAGGTGGAAACGTTGTATATCTTATATATCTGTAAAAGGAAAAAATAGGTAATGTAATTATACAAAAATATTTAATGCTTTTAATTAGATAAAACTAGAATTAAATATATATTTATTTAAATCATTCGGATTAAAAATAAAATATGATTTGCTTAAGATCAGCATCTATTGCTTTTAAATAGCTTAGTTTAACCAATAACAAGTTTAAAATTTTAATTAAACTTGAATGATAAATATGCTCATTTTGTGGAATGGCAAAAGACTCGAATGAAATGTGAAACAACGCATTTACATTCGATGACGTTTAATGCGAGTAAATACAAATCATGAGCTGAGACTCATATTCCTTTTGGGATAAACAAAAACCTTTCCTTTCTTCAATTTCAAAAACTATTAATTCGATATTTTTCTTGCGGTACGTATTTTAAAAACATATTGTGTTTTATCGTTATATTTACTGCACATGCTCTTTAAAAATTTTGACTGAGTAAGTTTCTTTTTTAAACAGAGATAAAAGTCTAAATATCTGCTGAATATGTTCTTTAAAAGCATGCGTGTTTCATTTTCAGTCGTGCTTGAAATTTCTCGAAAAGACACTCACTCTATTTAATTTTAAGATTTAATACGTTATTATATGGAACACTAAAATAAACTCCTAAATAAGCCAACTTAAACTAAATGTACAATAATTTATAAAACTAGAAGCGGAATACACGAATTAATCTAGAAAATAATCACGAGTCGAGATAAATTTATTAACAAACACTTCGTTGGAATTACGTGCGATAAAACAACGGCATGCAGCTACGCTAATAAACCGATCTGGCACTTTAATTGAGCAAAAGATGGGAAGAGGTTGTTTGTGTAAAGGTCGTGAATTATAAATAAAGCAAACAGATGTATGCTTTTCCGCAATGGCAACATTAGAAGATGTTCTAAAATTCTAATATAAAGTTTGCACTTGTAGTTTTTGTACTATTTTTTTAATTAAGTTGGTGGAATCACATGTTTGTGCTTTAAGAGACTAAATAAAATTTGATAATAAACTAAATAAAAGACGGCTTTATATTAATAAGAACCAAGTTTTTCACCTTATTAAAATAAAGTGCGGGAAGATCAGTATGAATTTCATCTTATTACAGAATTTTAGAAACAAGGAAGTTTTACTCCGTGTAAAATATTTTTTCAACCGGTGCTCTAACTGGTAAGCATGCATTATCTCTGGACAGAAAGAAAGATGACACGACAGTGCGCAATTAGTTTTGTTTCAAATTTTTGATTTTAAAATGTCTCATTGAAAAGCTATATATTTAAAGTAATTAAATAAGGATTTTATTACACGGTTTAGTTAAAAAAAATAACTTCTTTTTCCCAATGTTAAAATTATAGGCATGCATTGAATGTTGTAAGATGACGCACACGTCTTATGGAATAGCTACAGCAAGGCATAAACAGGTAAAATCATTTTTCATTGCCCAGTTAAAATGTTTTTTCAGTAACTCGTTCCATTTCTGTGATAATGGTATTTGTGGTTGTAAATCTCAAACCTCTTTATAGTGCATTAATTTTCCCAGTCAAATGCGAATTTTTTTGTTTGTTTTTGTTTCAGTTTTGTATTCTAAATTTAGATTTTGATTGCAGTTTAATTTTTCTAAATATGAAATGTTTTCTTACCAGATGAGCTGCTCTCAGACCTACATTGTCAGCAACATTTGCTCTTTCCGTGCTAATGCCATTTATCTGTGGAAGACATATTTGTTTTAATTCCTATTGAAAATATTTCTTTAGTTGCAAATATACACTTGAAAACAGTTAGTGTTTATCATAAATTTACTTTTTTAAACGATGCATGAAATCAGTATTTAAGTGCAAATGAACAGAGACATACAGATAAATATTATTCCCCTTTTTGATAGCATTTTTATTGCTATGTTTGTTCTCTCTCATGCACGAGAAAAAGTAGTTTCTGATTAGACATCCATTCAAAAAAGTAGTATAATAAAAATAAAAAAATAAATAAATGAAATCTGAAAGGTTTCAGATTTTAACGGTTGCCTCAAAGAATCCTTAAGGTTTTTTACACTCTCGCTGAGCCCGCAGTCTACCAATATGGCGTTCCTATCAGTCCTGCTAACCTATTTTTTTTTGTCTTTTTAGCTTTATTATTAAGCATCGTTTTCTTCGCACTTGCGCAGTTCAACAGCAAAATCACAAAGTTTTAAAAGCGACAAAGCAGCACATGCTTAGAATTCATTATATACTTTGTGGTACTCTTTTGTTATCAGGACCGGATTCAGAAATGCATGTATATCTGCACGTGTGTATCTATGTATCTGCATATGTATACATACACATACTGCATGTACACATTGATTTATGTAGGCATAAACACATGCATGAACACAAGCATACTTACATACATTTCTGAATCTGGTCCCGATAATTGAAGAGTACCTATTTTTTCTGCGTTTCCAATGTTTTCTCAGTTTATCATATCAATGTTCAGTTTTCTAAGTAAGATGTCTTACAAAATCTTTTTTTGGTCTTTCCACTACTAATGTTTTCTGTGGCAGCTGTTTTTATTAAATATTACGTTCTTCGCATTTACGGCACGTAAAATTCAATTCAACATCAAATCACAAAATATTTTAAAACAGCCTATTTTTAAAATTTCTTTGGAGATGAAAATGTTTATTGAGCGCTTTTAGATCGTTGAATTTGTGAATCAGAAATACATTAAAGCTTATAAAATATGAAAGAAATAATAAAGAAAATACATAACATCGTCCTATTCATCATACTGAGTAACATCATCATAATAAGTATTTTTAAGTAGATAGATCAGAAGTTAAATGCATTTTTATTATTTAAATCAATCCGATTCAAAGATAAGAGCCGAATATTCCTAAGAACTGTATTGCTTTGAAATAGCTTTGTTTGTTAACCACAACAGACAGATTCAATTTGAAGAAAGATGAATATCTTACATTTTGCCGAATAGCAACAAACTCGAATGAAAAATGAAATGTATAATTTTTATTTTTTAGAAATAAGTATTTCTCTCTTCATGAAACTTTGCTTTATCCAATACACTTTTAGAAAACGATCGTATTACCTATTTTTCTCCAAAAAATAAAAAAAACTGGAGATATTTTTAATATTTCGGAAAAACAAAAAATGTGGGCATAAATTTCAGTGCTTAGTTATTAATATTAATGTACTCGTAGCTTAAAAAGACGATCAGTAGAATCCTCTAAAATACTGTATGATTACAAAAAACAGTTATCGTATACTACAAAGAATAGACAGTATAAATGGTGAAAACAGCACAAGGCCAAACAGTGAAGCACACATACTCCAGCTTGTCTTACGTTAACTAAACGCAAAACCAAATCAGATCATCAACAATTAATTTTAAAAGCAATAATTATAGCTTCAATAATTATAGCTTCCGGAAATTACTACTCTGGCTGCTGCTTACTAATGATGCTGTATCACATCAAGGCATTTTTGTGATTTGCATACAAGAAACATTATTCGCAAACATTATTTGTTGTGTTTACTCTTCATATTCAATTTAATAAACTATTGCATGCTTTGTCACCAACACATTGTATCCGAAGGATAATAAGAGGAGGACCGGAAAGTAATGTCGCTTTCTAACATTCAAACGAATAAATTATTTTTAATCAATAATATAATCACCCTCGTTATCTACAACCTTTTGCCATCTAGTGTGCAGATTTTCAAACCCGCACCGATAAAAATCGATTGGTTTTTGAGTAAAATATCTCGAGATGGCATTTTGGACATCATCCAAACTTTCAAATTTTTTGCCACTAATAAAATGTTGTAGAGATCAGCATAAATGGAAATCCGAGCGTGCGATATCGGACGAGTATGGTGGGTGAGGCAGTATCTCCTACCCCAATTCATTAATTTTTTTCCAGTGTTCTTCTTGCACAGTGCGGTCTTGCACTGTCATGTTACAGAATGATATCTTTTCTGTTGACAATCGTCAGATATCTTTCGATTAAAGATTGGTTTACTCCATCCAATTGTTCACAATAAAGGTCTGCATTAATATTTTGTCCAGGTTTTAGCAATTTAAAATGAACAATTCCGCGAATACTCTACCAAACACACAGAAGTGCCTTTTTTGGATGTAAACCCTTTGTAACCCCTTTTAAAACTGCTTTTTGCGTTTTAGATTATCATGTAGGACCCATTTTTCGTCCCCAGTAATCAAACGATCAAAAACCAGTTCTGCAATATAGAAGCAATACGTTGCATGTGATGGATTGGTTGGCTTTGTTCCCTTCGGACAAATTATGGCGGACCCAAACACCAGCTCTGCTTATTTTTCCAATCTGCTTTAAATGTTCTTGGGTGGTCGATCGAGTTTAAGGGTGTTTGACAGTTTCTCGATTGTTTAACATGGATTTACTTCCACTTCTGCCTTTATCATGTCGTTGTCTAATGTTGTTAGCCTTCTTGATCGATGGAAGTTAGAGAGAACAAAATTACCGGATTTGAACTTGGAAAACCATCTTTGTCATTTACGAATGTCTAATGCACGTGGATGCGCATCGCAAATGTTTTTGGTCGCAACTGTTGCGATACTACCCTTGCAAAACTCAAAAAGCATACAGTACCGTATATGCTCTTCTGGTATTTGTCTGGCCATTTCATACCAAATTTAAAAAAATAAAAAAGTTTAATACTGAATTACTTAGAAGCGAGCAAGTCCCAATAACACTAAAATGACTTTGGCACGCCTTCTAGATATACAATGAGCTGGCGAATGATAATCAGATATCGACATTCGCAAGAAATGACATTACTTTCCGGTGCCCCTGTTAAAACAATATCGTGGGAAACAAAATTTGAAAATAGCTGAGCTTGGCAGATTCTATTCCATTTCCGCTAGTACATTAATTTCTGTTCTATATTTAGTAGTGGTGTGGTTGCAATGTGTATAAAAACACCAATATTTGAAATCAATTACTGAAAATATTTGCATTTTTCCATTATATTTTCATTTCCTGTATATCCAAAAGAATATCCATGAATATCCATCGTATCAATAATACTGAATTTATGAGCCATGTTATAGATTTCTTTTCCAGCCACTATTCATTTTGACTAATATAATATTCAATCCAATGACACTTTTCAGTATTCATTTTGGGTAATATTTTTCTATTTTTCATTTGTAAATTATCAAATTAATCCTATAACCATTCCCTGTAATTTACCTTTTGGCTCGCAATAACGTATCCTTCTAGTTTTTAAAATGAAAAATACTTCTTATTATCATGCAAATAAAATTTACGTGATTTAATGATCAGTTCTGAACGGCAGAAAACTTCTAAAAGTAACGTAGAAGCTAAGAGCTCGAGCTTTCAATGCTGATGCTCAATTTCTTTCTAGCAATATTAATTCATGCCATCGTTTGAAGCTGAGTATGAACTGTAAATTTAATTTAAGATACTTCTTCAATACTCGCTTTTTCATGCCTTTCAATACGACCTTTCACTTTTATGAAAGACCTACATTAGGAGCCTATTTAAGAAACAAAGCTGCAAAGGATTTTTATTTCTACGCTCAAAAGACGATTTAAGAAGTAGCTAGAGAAGTCGAGACTACGGTACTTTGTTCTTATGTTAGTTTCAGCGCATAATTTTATGCGTTGCTTATAACATGGTATCGAATTCCCATTGAGAAACCATACGTGTAGAACCTTAAATGAAATTCCTGAGTTGGAAGAAACACAAATAAAATGAAGCCCGAACATCGTGAATAAAATGGTGCCGTGTCAGTCAGCAGTACAGTTTTCGCTCGCAACTCATAAAAGAGAAGTAAAGCTCCGAACAATTAGGAACAGAAGCGGAGAATAGGTTATGTCTGCGATATTCTGGACTTGTTCTTCGATCAGTCAGAAATGTGAGCTATTGTCCGGTTATAACTACGTCAAAATACGGACGTAGAAGGAAGCTGAAGGAATTCCTCTATCAGCGAAAATCGTGAAATTGGATTAAATTATACATAATTTCAATAAATTTGAACGTTTTATGGTTTTACAGATGCAAGTTGATTTTTTAAATCCAAAGACTACACTCTTGCTTTGTAAAGCACGAAGACGCGCATGTATTAAAGAAAAATCTCATAACAGCTCGATCTCAAACAAATAAATCTCATAAAAATCAAAGAATGAGTGGTCGCAACTTGACCACTCATTCTTTGATTGTAAAGACTAACACAAATTAACATTATGAGGAAATGAAATGTGAAAAATATTTTAATCAGACGTAAGCAGGGAAGAAGCTAGAATTTACTTGCGAGTAATTGCAAGATTTTATTTAGCTGCAGATACTCAATTTGTTATAAAATTTATTATAGTTTGAAATAACATGCTGCTTGAATTACTATACTATGCTTCTTTTAATTGGAATTATTTTGTTAACTTTTCTTTTTCATTTCATTTCTTTTCTTTTTCAAGACACGTCAATAGTAATAGAGTATTTATAAGACATTATTTAGTTTGAGTTTAAAGTGGTGTGCAAAAATTAGAGACAAATTGAAAAAATTAACACGATCATAGAACGAACCGATAAACCTATCAGAAGAGCGCCTAGAATCAGCGATAGTTAAGAAGCATGTGTATACACAAAATATTCAGGGGTTGGACAAAAATATGGAAACACCTTTAAAAAAACATGTTTCTTTGCTTAATATGGTGTAGGAAACCCGTTGGCATCCAAAACAGCTTGCGTCTTCTCGAATGGATAAATACAGTTCCTGTATGTTTGCCAAGGGAATATTCTACCATCCTCCTTCCTGCAAAACGATGGGCAAGTTCAGATAACGATGTTGGCGGTGGATAACGAGAACGCACTTTCCTTCCAATGTAGACCACAAAGGTCGATAATATTCAGGTCTGGTGACTGTGGTGGCCAGGGGAGATGGGACAACTCATCCTCGTGCTCAGAAAACCAGTCCTGGACAATGTGAGCTGTGTGAACAGGGGCTTTGTCGTCTTGGAAGACACCATCACCATCGGGGAACAAAGTTTGTACCATGGGATAACTTGATCGGCCAAAATGTTTCACATAAGTCTTGGCAGTCATGTGCCCTGACACAGTATCATGGGGTGGCAGAGAACCACGATATGGCTGCCCAAACCATAACAGAACCCCCGCCATGTTTCACTCTTGGCAACAAGCAGTCTGTATTATAGGCTTGAGATGGCGTTCTCCAGACGTAAACTCGGCCAGAAGTGGGAAACATGTGAAAGAAGACTCGTCGACCATAGACCTTATTACTCGCTTCCACTGCTCTATAGTCCATGCAGGCTTTTATGACTTAAAACACCACCTTTTCCTGTTACGGGCATTAGCATCACTGATGAGTGGCTTCTCAATTGCAGCACACGGCCAGCATTCCCTGTTTATGAAGCTCCCTTCTAATTGTTTTGGTACTCACAGGGTTCGGTAACACAACATTCATTTCAGCAGTAACTTTTGCAGCTGTGGTCTTCTTATTTTTCGTCACAATTGCCCTAATGATCGTCTGTCACGATCACTCAGGACACACTTTCGTCCGCGCTGTGATTTAGCAGATGATGTTTTTTCCGCTTTTCAAATATGCGGAATAAATCTTCGATACAGTACCTCTTGAAACACTAAACACCTCGGCTACCTTGCTTGCGGAAGCACCTACCATACGTGCTCCAACAATTTGCCCACGTTCGAAGTCTGTGAAATCGGACATAATGCAATGACAACCTCACATAACTGTACTCCGACAACAACTGAACTGTTTAGTACATTTACGAAGTTGTATAGGTGGCGTAATTAGTCATAAACGCCAGCGCCACCTACATATTTCATTAAAATTAATCTTTCTTTTCAAACATGCATTTCACAAGGTGTTTCCATATTTTGTCCATCCACTGTATATTATGGGTGCCTGGGAGGAGTACAAAGAACAACGTTGTAGACCCTGGACTCCACTGGGGATTATTATAAAATTCATACAGGTTTTAGAGATGTCGCGTTGTAGTTTCTTTGATATGTTGTCAGTCACAGTTTAATATGTCCAGCACAAAACTCTGAAGACAACACCTCAGCGACCTTATCCGAGGTCGAATGATTGGAAAGTTAGAAGAAATTTGATGTGTAATTAATGAGCTGAAAGATTTCGAGATTGCACATAACATTGAGTCATGACTAAAACAGTAATTAGAACGGGAAGAGCTCCTATTCTAAGGACTTCGAGCTAAGGTTTTCAAATGTTTAGAAGTAGCCGTCTTTCTAATGTGTTACAGAGTGTGCGTTCGCGCGCGCGCGCGTGTATATATATATATATATATATATATATATATATATATATATATATATATATATATATATATATATATATATATATATATGTATTGTGTGTGTGTGTGTGTGTGTATATATATATATTTTTATCTATGCATAAATCATTATATTACAGGTATGATATACATATGTATATTACATATGTACACAAAAGATTTAATACGTTCAACAGTATAAAATTGTTTAATGTAAGTGGACAGAGTCCAAAAGTTTTTATTAGATTTTTCAGCTTTTGTGCTTTTTTAAAAAATTATGCTATTTTTTTAAACCCGCCAACGCATTTTCAAAATGTGTACATAGTTTCGTTACTTCCGATTCTGATTTAAAAAAATTGCACATGATTTTGCTTTTTTAAGTATTGGATCATTAGTTTTGCAACTTCTGTTTTGGATTCGATCTACTCAATATATTTTTTTAATTTGTCTTATTTTTCGCATTTTTAATTCTATTTTTTTTATGCTACAATTTAGCATTTTTGGCACTGCTTAGTGGCTGTAGGGGATTCGACTGATAAAGACACAGATTACTTTGGTTGTTTTTGGAAGATTATTTTTACATCTTAAATTTCAAACTTGATATGTGCCTTTCTCGGTTCAAAAACAGGTTGGTTTGTTTATTTAGTTCTTTCGTGTCGCCCAATCGGTGTAGTTGTTAGAGTCTCTGACTGCAGTGCCGAAGGGACCGGGTCTGAATCGCAGAGAAGGCGACACTCTAAATATGCGGCAAGCCGAAAGTCCTCTCGTGTGGTTGGTGAAAGGGGAGAAGGATGGGAGACCCTCGGGTCCGTCCCGCTTTGGTACTGTCCATTAAAATTGGAGGCGGAACTGAGTTGGGCTGATGTTACTGTCAGACAACAACAACAACTTCTTTTGTTACACGAACCCCTTGATGGCAATTCAGCGAAATATGCAAATTTCATTTTCATAACAATTAATTTCATTTTTTGGTTTTGGAATATTTTGCCTCTCTATTTCTTGTAAATCACCACTGTATTTCTGCTTTTTGATTTTCGCATGTTGTTTATTCCGAATTGGATATGGGATTAACTTTAAACTTATTTTTCATTTAATTTTATTTTGCATTATTACCTCCACTTGTTGCTGCTATTAGCGCACAGCTGGAATAGGTTTTGAATTGTCTTTCAATTTTAATGAGATTTCGATGACAGACAGCCGGTAAAATCGGAGGACATAAGCTGACGTTGGTTATCGCGTGTCATCATAGTGTAGATTAAACACAAGGTCGTCTGTTTCCTCTGCCACTCATACTACTGAAAGCAACCCGATATATTCTGATAGTTTCTGTGCTACCAATAACACAAGCATTGGATAGTTCAGCTATGAGGTCTAGAGCTGTTTACATATGAGACGTGATTTAGTACCACTTACAATTTCGAATATCTAAATATATGCACAGAGTGGAGAGCATGGAATAAAAAAAGCAACATCGTCGAAAGATACCGGTTTAAAATGGGCAGAATTCTCATCTGGGAAAGGGGAAGGAAATGAAAACTAAAATGTGCACCATAGGGGGGTTCTCTTTCCTCACACGCATCTTTTCCATACTTCAGCTAATCTTAATCCAATCCAGTACGTGATTTCGGAGAAGGCCTAGATCCACGTCGCTAGCCATCAGCAATAATACCCCTATTATTATGGAAGGAACGGACTATGATGCGTCAAAGACTCATTAGCAATTTCATCTTGAGTATAAACAAATGTTTCCTTTCTCGGTTCAAAAACCTACAACGCCCTCAGGGGTGATCATTTCTCACTGATGTCAGCAGTTTCTTAGTGTTGTCTGTTGCATGTTCTGGTTAGCGTTGTTAACGTTTCCCGTAGTTTTATTCCCTGCGATGTTCTGCTATACTATGCACCGATTTCAAAAACTCCTTAACGATATTACTAGTCAAAAACCTAACCAGACCTTAATTTTTGGACACGTTTTTTTACTTAATTTCCGGGGTCAGTTTTAAAATTTTCATATGTATTATTAATACACTATTTCGCTTCATGGCATATGTTATATTTCTTAACTTAAAATTCTTCGTCATTATCTTATAAGGCATTTCTTCCGCCTTCTTGGCATGCCTTCGGGGTTTGGTGATCTGCACGCTCAGCGCGTGATTGAGAGATCCGTGGTTCGATTCCCGGCGAAAGCGTTTGGCATTTTTCACATTTTTCCTGCTTCCAATAAAAAAATACTTAATGTTTCTACAATCTTTCCTTCATGTTTTGTTAAATTATATGTATTTCTGGCCCTAGAAAGAAAAAAGAAGCCACAAGTTTATCTTACCTGCATTCCATTATCGTCAGTGTAGTTTTCGTATTGCTCTATAAAACAACAAGTTTTTTCCTTGAAGAGTTCTTTCGTTTCTTTGATCTTCAAATGATACTCAATGTCAGACAAGAGAAAACTTGTGCCTTCTAGATTATACCGCCAATCTGTAATGTTATCATTAATATTCATATTAAATTCATATCGTCGAAAGATACCGGTTTAAAATGGGCAGAATTCTCATCTGGGAAAGGGGAAGGAAATGAAACTAAAATGTGCACCATAGGGGGGTTCTCTTTCCTCACACGCATCTTTTCCATACTTCAGCTAATCTTAATCCAATCCAGTACGTGATTTCGGAGAAGGCCTAGATCCACGTCGCTAGCCATCAGCAATAATACCCCTATTATTATGAAGGACGACTATGATGCGTCAAAGACTCATTAGCAATTTCATCTTGAGTATAAACAAATGTTTCTTTCTCGTTCAAAAACCTACAACGCCCTCAGGGGTGATCATTTCTCACTGATGTCAGCAGTTTCTTAGTGTTGTCTGTTGCATGTTCTGGTTAGCGTTGTTAACGTTTCCCGTAGTTTTATTCCCTGCGATGTTCTGCTATACTATGCACCGATTTCAAAACTCCTTAACGATATACAGTCAAAACCTAACCAGACCTTAATTTTGACACGTTTTTTACTTAATTTCGGGGTCAGTTTTAAAATTTTCATATGTATTATTAATACACTATTTTATTATTATAAAATATATTCAAAAGCTTTTCAAATTTTATTTGATAAATAATCTCATGCACAGCATTCTTATCCAGTACATACTGATGTAACTTCATATTGTATATTATTGCTTTTAAGTACTCTGGAACAGATTTCGTAAATAATTTGCAATGATGATAAAGAGAAAGGAATTTTTGTGTCCTTTAAGCGATATGAATTCAATGTATGCTTTTAGAGAAACATGGATTAGTAGCTTATAAAGCTCCTATTATTTTAATTCACCAGTTATCTTATGATTTAGATTTGTACTATCCCTTTTCTCTTCCGGTTCCTTACCAGAATGCAAATTAGTTTGAGCGTATATAAAGGGAGATTTTCCAAATGTAAAACACGGTGAGTTTCTGCATCTAAAGGCCGCGTTACTAGGTTAATTAGCCTCGGTTTAGAATTCGTTCTTCGGCTTGCATTTTGATTGCAATATTTAAATTGTTACGCCAGGAAGAAGTTTTGAGCCAACTTAATATAATGAGAAATAATAAGGCTTTTCGTCGTACCAGAGTGGGTTTCATAGAGGTGGCTAGATTGTAGATATTGTTTTAATATTAGAGACCTTGCTTCGAAATGCTTTTTTTGGGGGGGCGTCATTGGAAAAGTATATGATAACACCTGGAGATGCGACAGGTTACGGTATTCTCCGTAATCTTTATGAAATTTATTTGCGTGGCTATTTACGCTTCTTACTCAAAAATTGTTTTAAAAATAGGGCTTTCCATGAAAAGCTTGATTCTCTGCTGTTCAAAGTATTTTATCAAGAAGACGAGCCTCAAGTTTGCTTCCTGCACTTTAGCTTGAATTAGCTTGAAATTAAATTCTATCTTGAAAGAGCTTCCTCTTACCATTAATGGGATATGTAGGTGGTTCAATGATACGTTGCAGTGGGATTGCCATGAGGTACATTGAGAGACAGTTGCAAATTGCACTAAATGGAATCCTAAAATGGTCAGATGAACATGAATTAGAGATTTGCAGGAAGAAGACTATTGTGCGCACGTTTGCTGCCGCAAAGGCCGAAATCCAGCTCCAGAGCTCTGTTTATAAGGTTCTTTAAACTAAGTTTAGCCAGATGTAAAATATTAGAGCAAGGTTTGATAGCAAGATCTGCTTCATTCCGCACATTCTGTATGTTAAGAAGAAAAAGTTTCTAAAAGTCAGTTTAGTCGAATACATGATGGGTAGCTGACCGCTCTGCTATGCTCGGAATTTATAGAGCGCTGATTAGATCCAAAAACCTCTGTGTAGTGTACGGATCTTAACGTCCATCTGTATTATTGAAACTTGACCGGTACCAAAAGTTGCGCATTCGCTCTAAAGCTTTCCGATCATCTGCGCAGAGCCTGTACCTAGAATGTTTTGAATCATCACTTCAGTTAAAGCGTAAGCAAGTAACTGTTTGCTGCTATTTTAATATTTTGTCTCAGTTAGAACATCCTGCTCAATTCCTAGTACTAGATGACTCGTGTGATCTGCTGGTTGTACATTCAGCTCTTTTTGGATGACAGAAATAAATACAACAAATATTTACCCTTATTTACAGACGTATCGAAAGGTCATGACTAGATTGGTACATTCTTTGTGTCTGGTAATCAAACTGAAGCGACTTCATAGCGCCTGTTTGAAATCAGAGAAAGAATTTTTGAATTTAACCCTGAGATGTTTTCATTATACTTATTTCCAAATATTCCATATTAAAAATCATATTAATCATTAATTTCAATATGTATAAATTTCACCGCTAAAATAATTTTTTAAACCAAGTTTATTTTTCAAACTTTAATTTTAGCTGCATGATATTTATTTTCGATTTTTCTCAAATTTATCGATTTTTTTTCAATGGTCACGTTATCTAATATGAGAGATTCAAGCATCAAACGATTCATCCATTTTAGGATATCGAAAGTTATACAAAATCCAATCTTTTGCTCCAGATTTAATCCAGATGAAAAAATGCACTAAATAGGCGGTTAGTAAAAAAAAAAAAAAAACTGAAAGGTTTCAGATTTTTAATTACGTCTAAAGAGGCTTTTTTTTACATTTTGTGTGTTACATTGATTTATTAAATATCATGTTCTTCGCAATTAAACCATAATTCAGTTCAACAGCAATATCGCAAAATAATTTTATAGGTTTTTTCCGCCTTCCTAGCGTCTTTCGTGGTGTAGTGGTCAGCATACTGAGCCGATTTCAGAGGTCCGTGGTTCGATTCCCGGCGAAGCGTTGCATATTTTCATCTCTCTGACTTTCCAATTAACCTAATGTCTCTACAATGGCGCTTGAACTAAAAGGTTGTGGATGATGACTCTCCACACCCAGGATTTGGTGATTGGGTTCCCTAAAAACCCCAGTCGCCCTTTTAAAGAGGAAGTATATAAGGTATTTGTTCAGCCTTCCTAGCGTGCCTTCGTGGTTTAGCACACTGAGCCGGTATTTCAGAGGTCCGTGGTTTGATTCCCGGCGAAGGTGTTGCATATTTTTCATCTCTCTGGCTTTTCCAACTAACCTAATGTCGCTACAATTTTTAAATGAGCATATCTGTAGAATTTTCGATACGCAGTCTCAACCGCTGGAGATAAAAATGTTTTTTCTGTACAACGTTTTCATTGCTCGCTTTGAAACCCTTCAGTATCTTAATCAAACTTCGTTAAAATACTACAGTATATGAAAAAGATAATAAAACAAATTCTAAATTTCAAATTTGGCTTTCAGATGCCCATATTCGCAGTGGGATTACATCATTCAAAGTTAGATGGCTCTAGGTACCGTTGTTTTATCACAATGCGAGAAAAATACATACATTTAGCAAGATTCTTCATTAT